CAGGTCACCTCTCCCACGGTGCAGTTAAAGCCAAGGAGAAAACGCAGCAGGGAGAAGGTGAGGATCGCTCGATTCGCCCCCCAGCTCTCCAGCTCTCCCTGCTCGTAAGGAGCCTGACCCCAGCGTTGTTTCACTCTAATTGGACTCCCGGTGCGCTGCTTTCCGCTTAGCTGGCTCCGAGGCGTCGATAAACAGATAAATGCCGCCGCACACCCACTGTGCGTAAAGAGAACGTGAAGACAAGCGCGTAGGTCCCGCAGTGAGAGCGACGGCTGAGAAGGCTGAGCGCTGCAAACGCTCCCCCTGTTGGCACGGAGGCGTGTTTGTCCAGGACGAAGTACCTCAGGCATCAAGAAAGGCCAAGAAAAACACCCTCATTTATTTTATCAAAAGATTAAAATCACAAAAGGCTGACAGGCTGGAGAAGAGCGAGCACCAACCTCTCCAAAGTCCATAGTTCACACTCACGTTCTCTGCATATTAAAGTTATTTTGGACACAACTCCCTCTTTTTGCTACAGCGATATGGACTAAAAAATATCTACATTTCTCTCTTTTGAGTGTTTCTTTGGGTCTTGTGTTCATGTGTGCAACATTCATGTGTCTTTCTGGTAACACAAGTGTGTGTGCATGTGTGTGTGGATTAGGTTTACATTACATTGTGGGGCTCCAAATGTCCCCCACAATGTAATAGAAACCTGTTATTTTGATGTTGTGGGGACCATTTTTCTGGTCCCCACAAAGACCTGTGAATGCAATCAAAAAAGTAAAAATGCCAAAAGTCTCATGTTGTTTTGGTTACTTATGGTTAAGGTTAGGGCTGGGTAGGGGTTAAAGTTGTCATGGTGGGATTAGAGTTTTCCCCACAGAAGTGAATGGAGAGTCCCCACAAAGATATAATTACAAACTTATGTGTGTGTGTGTTATGGTTGTGTGTGTACTTGGATCCAAGAGCATTTACAAGCAAGCATAGGGATTTATGAAGGAATTCTTAGGAATTTGAAGAATAAATTATAGAGCTACTGTAAAGGCATTCCTCAATGCCTTGCAGTAAGTGGTGCCCACCACTAGAGGTCTGTCTTGTTCTTAGTATCAATGAGGCATGTGGTTGGGTTAAGGAAGTCTAGAACAAAAAGCAGTGATCTGCTCCACAAAATATCCAACAAAATCAATTTGCATTGTTTACAAAATTCACTCATGTTTGGTTTTATTTGAAGAGCTAATTTGGACAAGAGCCATTTACTGTGTTGACTTTGGAACTGCATATTACAAGGCTAATGAAGTACAGAACACATCATACTACATCCATAAATAACCACTGTTTGAAGATAAGGATCAAAAAGCAGAAAGAATGTCGTATGTGGAAGAGACATATGAAGTTGAGTGTTGCAGTTAAAGTTCATTGCATTGGGTTTAGCAAACACACTTTAGCCCTCGTCTGGTGATAACGGGATCTGGCGATGTGAAGTGTGACGTTAGCTTGTTGTGTAATGACCCCTCGTTGGGGAAATTTGCACTGCCAATGAAGGAAGGTGATACTTGTGGTGAACCCCCCCCAGCTCCCCGGAAGTGTTTCCTGTTCCCCTGAGGCTGCGTGGGAGAAGAACCACTCCAGGGAAACCCAAAGCTTGTGGACCAAACTAAATGCCTCCTGTGAACATGCACTACCCAACGCAGGTCAACCAAAGTCATCCCTTGCATGTAAGCTTCCTGACTAAGCTGGGTATGAGAAATCCTTCATTTTCCAACCTTCCTGAGCTCCCAAATGAGCCCAGAGAAAAAAACATAAAAGTGACAAACAGTAATATTAGCTGCCAGTCTTGGGACGTGAGCCTGTCCCAGGATGCACTGCCCCCCAGGATGCACTGCGCCCCAGGATGCACAGCGCCCCAGGATGCACAGCGCCCCAGGATGCACTGCGCCCCAGGATGCACTGCGCCCCAGGATGCACTGCGCCCCAGGATGCACAGCGCCCCAGGATGCCTGGGGTTTTTTCTCAGTCCATAAAAATGTGCTAGTTGGCTGGATAAAATGAGATTTAAAAGTAGAAAAGAGGCATCTTGATATTCTGTTGTTGTTTTCTGGGAGGGGAACATCCTATTCCCTCAGTGATTTCCCAATTGTCCATGTTCATGCTAAAAAGTACCCAGTGATGCTACTGTAGTTGGTAGAGCTGGGAGGGGAACACAAATTACACAACTATAAATACAAATTGAAACTGAAGACTGTTGCCATATCCTGAGGCTACAGCCCTCGGGCCATATCATTCCAACAAAGAGACACCACAGGAAATTTTTACTGTTCAAAAATTTGTTTTTATTTCTTTGGAGAAACACTGGATATTTAATTTCTAACTCTGCAAAGTTTCCATGTTGCCTGAATTTTCTCTTAAACGTTTTGGCTGAAGAACCACAACAAAAGAATTCAAAACAATCAGTTATGAATAATTAGACATCTGATCAGGGTAGGTCACAGGAAGAAGCTGGAGCAAGCACATTTTAAGAAGTCTCGAGGTGATACAGAATGAAAACAGATCCACACCATTCTCTTGCTATGGCAAGAGTTTAAAGCAGGAAATCACAGTGAGTTTATGCAGCGACTCCTGTCTATATGTGACAACAATTTAATTATCTTCATGTCATGTGGAGACCTCATTGTGTCTCTGCTGAGGTTCCTTCTATGGGGCTGGACTTCTGCTCCCCGTGTGATGATCCACAACATGGCCAGCAGCCATGGTGAGGTTGCTGTTTGGGTTTGCGGAGGTGGTCAGCCGGAGCACCAGGGACATCAGACAGATTGGGGGTGGTACGAGCAACTTTGTTCCAAATAGTTCTGAATACAGCAGGATTCTGAAGAAATTCTGAAAAGCCCAACAAAGCATCAGAGGCTTCCAAAATCACTGCCATGAGTCTTTGGCCAGGTAAAAGTATTCTGTTGACTGCTTCAAAGCGATCACAGAGGAGGAAGCCTCCAGATGTTTCTCCAATCTAGTTCCATGGAAGTCTGAGAATATCGCCGTTCCAGACATGGCTGAAGGGACGAGCAGTAGAGCAACAGTTTGCAATTAACCTAATCGCATTTTATTTCTTTACAGTGGGAGGAAACAAACACGAACATCAAAAGGACATGCAAGCTCCACATGCACAGACTTGTGGAGGGATTAAAATCCTCAGCCATAATAAATCATAATATTGTCCTCTCAGCCATGATACCATATAAGTTATGCAATATTAACTCCATGTTGGAGCTGAGAACAAAGCCAGATGACTAAGGAAGAGAGGAAGTTGCTTTGATAGTTAAACAGGAGACCTCTCTGAGTGCAAGGGTAACTGGCCCCTTAACCTCCTGTATCACAAATCAGGATTTCTTGCTTAGCCAGATAACTTGTCAGATTTAAGGTGCCCCAGTTCAAATGGACTTTATCTTTGTTCACTTACATTTAGCCCGGACTACCTTAAATCTGGCAAGTTATTCGGCTAAGCAAGAAATCTGGCTTCGTGATACAGGGACCCACTAACAAAAAAATAATGTAGGTGCAATTTCAGCAAAAACTGAGTGATTTACTGGGCATATAGCTGGTCAGAGCTGTACGGGCACAAAATAAGTGGGAGAAACATATGATACTGATGTATGACAAATACGTGAAGAAAAGCAGGCGCCAAAATAAACAGCAATTCTAGCAGGTTTAGTTAAGGAGTGTTTAAGTAGCCTGAGGTAATGCCTGATCAAAAACATAGGTCCAGATATTCATACAGATACTAGAGGGAGCCCCTTACACCAGCTGGCAGACCCGCTACACAGGCTGAACACCCCATTGACGGAGACTAGAAACTTTTATAAACTTGTTCCAGGAATTACAGGGTGGCCTGCATTCTGCTCTCCAAGCATGCCTCCCAACATCTAAACATTGTTAATCTTAGATAAGCAGGAGGCAGAATGTCCTGTTATTTACTAAGAAGAAGCATTTTGATTTTCCCTGCTGAACAAGAAGCGAAATGGGAGGCATGAAAGCCGAAATGATGAGACCTAAGTTCTGGTCATCAAAGCTTTTTGAATCAAACTCACTGCGGGATGATCGCCCTAGTCCACAGATCGATGCATGCAACGCTACTGCCTGTAACACGGATGTTAAGTTTGGCCATGATTCACAGCTGTGTTAAACACCCTGGATAAAGTATCACAGGACATATGTAGCTTGGGTATGGAGAAAGGACCCTATAAACTCTCAGCTGGTCCTACCATCTCCTGAATCCGCAGAGCGGTGCTGAATATGTGCCAGATTTCCATGTGCGCAAGATGTAAACATGCACCTTTGCAGTGCCTGCACATCTGCTTGAGGCATTAGTTACCGCGAAGAGCAGATTTCTGGCCAGACCTGGGCTGACACAGCATAGAGGACAGCTGCATTTCTTTTGACTGAAAGCTATTTCCTTCTTCCTGGTAACTGTGGACAGCTGGGATCATGTCCCCTATGGTATAAATGTATTTGCCCAGCTTTGCTGTTGCTATGTCTTCTTACTTGAATGGGTTATTGTAATGGGGGGGGGGGTCTGATGAGAATGACTGCTGAGGCCTGGGCAATTTTTCCTGCAAGGGTGTTGACGTATGGCAGCTCAACATCTCCAAACCATTAAACACAGGACTGAGCCCACAAATCAGAGACGAGAGCACTAATTCCAGCATGATTTCTTTCTAATGCATCAGCTGTTGCCTCTCTGTGTGTTTTCCTTTTCTTCAAACAGTTTATGGAAAGTGTCTGCTCGCTCGCTTCCATCCCATCCCTTACCCCAGCTGCAGCCCCAGATGTGGGCTTCTTTCAAACACGGACTCCATTACTCATTCGGAGATTCAAAGTGGAGGATGCGGGACAGATGACACCACAGAATCATCTTCCCAGTCCTCAGCTTAATACGGCACAAAATTCTAATCACCCAATTCAATGCCAACATCTTCATACCACAATGGATCTCTAAAAGGTTTTAGATCTGGGTACCTGGGTACCTCAGCTGGGTATCGAGTGCCCCTCAAATGCGACTTAGTAAGAGTATAAAACAAAGCAATCATCTAATTAAATCACCACGACTGGCATCTTCAGACTACAGTGGATCCCAGGCATGAAAGGCTTTGCAATGTCACTCAACCCACCTCCAGTGAACACAAGGCAGTGGAACCAGTTAACATCACAATTTGGTTCCAGCAGCATTAAATTAGCTCCCCTTGCTCGAGTTTCCTGCACACACCCATTGATTGTTCCAGATAAGGCACATTCTAGTTTGTGCTGGTCTCATAAACATGCGTATTTTATACAACAGTTGAGATGGTGAACAGCAACAATCCCTTAAGACCGTCTCCCTTAAGACAGGAATATACTGTCCTGGACCAAAAGGCAGTTATGATGCAAGGGGCCTTCTAGGGGTGATCTTCAGATGTCCTATACAGCCCTGCACTGAATAAGAGGTAAGAAGATGGATAGATGGATGGATGGATGGATGGATGGATGCAGAACATCACAATGCACTTCTGAACAGCAGATGTTCCATCTTACTCCCCAGTCCATAAAATGTACCGATGGAGCCTTTGTGAATTAAATCATTAGTACACATAATTTAGGGCTTGAGTAATCTCATCTAAGGAAATATTTTAATTATGTGGAAACCCACTGTTAATCCACAATTTATGAAAGCCAGGTTGGGCTATTTCCTATGATAACACTGAATTTTAGCAAAAACCTGCAGGCATTTAACTGCCTAAATAGTAATGCCCCTAAACTGACTTTTTGTGGAGTTTCTCTCAAGCTAGTGCAACATTATGAAATCTAAAAAAAAATTTTTAAATTCCACGTCCACTGAAATGGTTCTCTTTGAAGTCATTGGCGTGTGACGTGAATGGATCCGTGTTCAGTGCCTGAAAGACACTGAGATTACAGTCAGTTCTGACAGTTTTTAAACCTGCGAGTCTGACCATTGCACTTAGAATTTACTGACTTATTTTTATGAACATACTGCTGGCCAAAAATCAGGTTCATCCACTAAAAAGAATGACCACCCAGGAAGAGTAAGTGCATAAATTATCATTACATAGCCCAGACGCTTGCTCTACACAACCACTTTACGTATATGAATTTTGTATATAACTCTCCCATAAACATTTAGCATACTTCCCTTTTGTTTGCTTGGTAATAGTAGTCAGTGCTATACATGTACTGTATAAGCATATATACACAAAGATAAACCGTAGCATAGAACACACATCATCATCTTGCAGTTTATATGCATTTGACAGGATTGTTTTAGGGAAAATGTAGATTTGATGAGGCTGTAGCCTGCATTCGAGTACATGTGTTTATAAGTATGTTTGCACTCCTTTTTCCATTCCTAGCAGGGAAAGTCAACTATTTACTTGGCCCTCCGGCCGAAGATTATGTGTGAGGACTGCACTTGGGCCCCCAGATTTCCATGGAAAAGGTCAAAGGTTGTAGCATGGTCCCAGCATGCTTTGCTATGCTCAAGGAGCAAAAGTCACGCATGTGTTTCACCTCCCCGAAGGTGACGGCTCCCTTCGCTGCGAAGGACAGCTCTGCCTTCTGAAATGCAGCCAAGGCATTCCCTAGCTCTGGGGGTGAAGGCAGCACATATTATATCCAGATGTTTTTCATCTTCTCCCATATCTCTGTTTTTCTAAAGAATAAAAGTTGAATACGTTCTATGGAAATTCGGAGTAACTTCAGTGGCCAGATCCCAGTAAACTCCGTCCAAGTACCCCTGTTATTAATCAGGTTTCAAAGTAAAAATAAATCTTAACTTTATCGCCGTAATTCTCTCATTTCAGGCTCATTTCTACCATGGACATTCTCACTGAACTGCCACATCTCCATGCCCAAGTGCATTGCTGCACCATCATCATACGTCACTCACACGGTGGATCTCGCCACCAGGCACTGGGGACGACCCTCCCACTCTCTCGCCAGCCCTTCTTTGGAGAACGTCCTGTGGGACCTGCACTCCAAAGGCTGAGACCCAGAGAAGCAGAAGATGACGCAATGCTGTTGATATTTTACTTTCAGAAGCTAAAAATTGCCTGGAAGTTACACAGTGCTGCAGGGCAGGTAGAATATCACAGTCCTTCCCTAGAGCCAAGATTGTGAGGCTTCAACTGAGTTCTGACCATCCTCTGCAATGACACATGGCTGTCACTGAGACCCCAAGGCAGTGACCAGCTGTCAGGAGAGTCACACACATTATCCTTCTGCTTAGTTCATTCCCGTAGTCGTTCTTGCGACTCTAAGTCGTTCTTGCCTCTAGGCAGAAAAATCTGAATATCCATGGAAAATCACCCTCTTGGAAAGTTTCACAGCGACAAGAGGCAGATGTAAATTTGTGGTTATTGTCTGAATTGCCTCTTTCTGAGACACCAGGGTATCAACGGTGACGTATGACACATGGGGTAATTCACTGGCCTGAAGATTTACCGTCAAAATTGGCTGTCACATGTTAGCTGTGCCTATTACAGTTCCAAAGGAATATACTTAATAACTGGCAGATGTACCATAAAACTCTCTCAGGACATGTTAAAGTCATACTGAAAAAAAATCAGACCAAGATGTTTCCTGAAAAAAGCAGGAATAGGCACAAGAACTATTTCAAAATAAACACATATATCACAGATTTCATTTTTGTGACGTTTACAGTCTTTTACTCTGTTGCCTTTGCATTCTTCACTAAACAGCAGAGATAGTCAATGCACTCGAACAACGGATCACCCCAGATTACTATGCATAACCATCCTCTGTCGGGATCGACAGGTCAATCGGCAATACAGACATCCAGCAACCCCCACCCGAAGAGCAAAATATGTGTAGCGACTCAGTAGATCCCAAACTATTTCCCTTGCAGATCTGGCTTGCATTGTTAAATAAATAAATAGGTTGGAGACCACTGCTCTAGGAGTTCCGGAGCGTGGACTGCAGATGGTGCTGTTTCTCCATCAAAGACATAAGACAGTTTTTCAGTACGCTGTCTGAGCTGTTTGTGCAGGCTACACTTCGTTTTTGTCTGTTTTTTTTTTCTTTCAAGAATGTAGGGTCACAATGTTGGTCTGGCTCTGGCCCCAGATGCACCGCAGCCCTCAAGTGACGGTGCTACAGGGCCTGGGGAGGGAGGGAGCCCTAGTCCCGGCCAAGACCAGACACCGAAATAGGGTTGGCTCTGTTTTATCCGTCATAATGTTGCTCATCATGGTAAATGTTACTCACGATGGGGCGTTTACGGAAAAAAACAACGTATTCAAGCACACCGTGTTTGTGGATTTTGCATATTCTGCCCACGACTGCATGATTTACTTCACGTATTCCAATACCCAGCCCAAGGCCAAAGGTATGGCGTTCAGACGTCTTAACGTCTATGTACATACGTGCCCACCTTATAACCGTGATCCAAAATCCATAAACAGTACTGGAAGATGGGTGGTCAGACCGCTGACACTCCGCCATGCTGGATTCATCATAAATAAGGTCATCCTTCCAACCCAAGCAAAAACATTAGCCGTAATATCAGCACGCTAACGTTTACGGCTTATTTTTGTGTAGATGTACCTAAAACGATTTTATTGTTGGTGTTGTTTTCCATTAAATGTGTGTCCGCCTGTTCAGTTGGCAAAGTAATTGAATGTTGGTGTGCTTTGAGTTATTTGATTTGCCAGGGGTTATAAGCCTGGTAACCGAAAAAGCAACATCCTCCAAAGAAATCGCACTTCATTTGCCCAAAGGTCCTCTTTGTCCTCAGAGGGATTTTTCACTGAAATGGCGTGTTTTAACAAGCTCTATATATCTTTAAATAGGCAAAGTGGGGGAAAAGCGAGTTTTGTGTAGAAGTTTGACTGAAAAGAGTTACAGCGAACCGCTGAGTAATTGTTCAATAGGCCTATGTTTGTAACTATACATACAGATGATTGTATGAATGATTTAAATATGAGACTTAATTCGTTACGAGTAATTTATACGCTCAGAGGAAGATCCAATGAACATTACTACGTAGAGACACAAAAGTAGACTTATGTAAGCTAACTGGCCTCTCTAAATTGCGCATAACTGATGATTGTATGTGACAATGTGGGCGTGTACAGTATGTGCCCTGCGACATACTGACATTCTACGACGCCGACCAGCATAATCGGTTAGAAAATGGACGGATGGTTGGACGTGTGAAATAAATACTGAGCTGAGCTGAATATAATTATGTAAAAAGCCACGCGCACGAAAATGACAAATCAGTTCTATGCTGTAACAAGTGACAGAAAGAACTCAGTATTTGGGATTAAACACTACTTAAGCAGCAGTTGTTTTGTTTCTTAGAATAGCAGAATCCAGTATATTTGTTAGAATAAAAATTTTGATACAGTATAAAACGAAATGATTTTGAACACAAAAAGAGTAATAGAGTAATGCTGGATTTGTTTAGCTGTGCAACTGTAGCATACTAAAAGGTGTTTATTGTAACAACCAACTGCAGTGACACCCACACCTGGTCTCCCCTACGGAGATACAATGTTGCAGATCGTGATTAACCGGAAATTATATTACATAAAATAAGAATATCCAACAAAAGTTACAAAGCGGAAAACACATTGTGTAAATCACAGCTTGAAGAATGCACTAAAGTTTTTAGATATAAAAATCTGTCCTTCGGATATCGACTCCTCCTCCACCCTTTGCGATTTAGTTTTTCATCCAGCCCTCTTTCCTCTCTGACTGCGCAGTCCCTCTCTCCAACCTCTCAGTGCTTCTCTTGGGGAGAGTTTCCACAAAACGATTGCAGTTTCTTTCCAAAAGCAAATTTATTTTTAATTTCTTTTTCGAAGCGTCGGCTTCCAATCTGCATTTGTTTTAATGCATACGCTTCGTAGATGAACACTAATAAAGGAAGGATGCTTTTTTCTGCAAATTTTGTTCTTTTCTGGCTTTTCCCTTTATGGGCAGGGTCGGCAGCTCAGGATGATTTAAAGAGAGGGGGGAGAGGTAAGGCGATGATATTCTAGACCGTTTGGGTCACAATTCTAAAAAAAAAAATGTTCTAATAAACGCTGTCAGTGTTCAGTTATTACTGTTATTTTTAATTGCTTTGAAAATGCAGTTCCTTATTTCATGATCCCATTATCGACGCATCAACTGGTTTTATATTTGGGGTGAGATTGATTTGACAGTGACATCATTTAACACGGAAAACAAAATAAGAACGGTTATTAATAGCAAAACTATCAAAACAGTTGTTGCATGATCTGGGGATTTTCTTAAATTATCATTAAAGGAGATTGTAAAAGTAAGTGAAGAAACAAACAGCTACTGCCCTGTAATATGACGGAATGCATAACAGACTCCCTCGGTAAGATTCGAGGTCCGATAGTATAAATCGTGACTGTTATTTAGATGTCATCTAAATGACTGTGTCCATCTGATACGAGACTTCCACTAAGATGGACCCCAGCGGCCTTAAGCCCAGTCAGACACGCTTGGAAAAACGTTAAAATTTGTAAGACGGGACCCATTAGAACAAATCTTACCGACAGTGGTTGTTTTTCCTGTACGGGAAACAGCCGTTTGTTACACTAAAGTTGTTGAGTACCGTTAATGCGTCTTTATTATCCTATTGTCAATGACAATTAAGGGTTATTAAAATGGTCCGTTATTGTTGTTGTTGTTCTTATTGTTGTAGTTGTTCTGTGGCGTGTCTATATGCTTACACTTGCTTATAATAGGCTAAATGATTAAGGCCCAATTCTTTTGCTTTACGGTTTAAAGCATTTCAGTCGCCAGAGCTCAGCGCCAATTTCTTTATTTAAGTTGAGAACAAGAACTTTACGGCAAAAGACTTTCATATTGAAGTATGAAAGAAATATTAATGAAAAGACAAAAATCGTCAAGAATTAAACACTTGCACTGAGTCTTCCAACAAATTTAACCCGCATACAGGTGATCTTTAAACTTAGAAGTATTACAAAAATAATATTTTAAATGCGGCAACTTTAGTGCCCCCCAATGACAGATTAGTGAAACAATGAAAAGGTTTATACGGCTGCACCAGACCTGTGGAATTATGTGCCGATTATGTGCAATTTTAAATTAGAACTGGAAATTATCCGTTATTGTTTTCCCTCCCTCATCACACCCCCTCAGTCTCCCCCAATCCACAAAGAAAATTGGTGTGACCATGTCTATGTCCATCCAATGCTCAAATTTGTACAGGAAGCAGAGTGTCAGAATGAAGTCACATGTCTCAAAGACGACAGTAGACAAAATTTAGGAAATTAGCCCAGTTTCCATTTGTTGTCGCTGTTGACCCTGCAAGCAATGATATTATGTGGTGTAGGATTCAGTGTTTGACCTGCTTCTTCTCTGTTAGACTGCAGAGAATCATGGGATGTTAGAATTTAATTGCTTAATTTCAGGGGGGGAGCAGGGGGTGTTATTTGCGTATGTATATATATATATATATATATATATATATATATATATAAGCACATTTTTAGAAAAAATACTCAAGCTTGGAGAATCAAGTCTAAATGAGAAATCAGAGTGAGTTTTATATTTTTAAAAACTATAAGATAACTGCAAAGCATTGCATAAATAACTTTTTTGAAAATTGTCTTTTGCTTCTTAATGCTGGTAGTCTAGTGTAGGTAATACTTGGAGGACAAGGTCAAATGCATCTGCACCCCCAGCTGAACCACTAGCCCCAGTGTAGCCACCCCAGTTGAAATGGTCTAGACAGGTCACTGGTTAATATCTACCATGCACATTTTTCTAATGGTGAACTGTCCTTGCTCATTAACATCCATGCATTTTTCTGAAGAAACATCCCATTTTAAATGTAATCGGAGCTTGAATTTATTAAGGGAAAATAACCATGAAGGTGGCATGTGGCTCAGCAGGTTAGCAGATTGTGCCTGTAGTCAGATGGTTGCTGGTTCGCATCCCAGGTTGGGCAAAGTACTTTCACAGTGAGCCCTTCAGCATGGCTTCAGTTGCTCCTGGGATTTTCTGACCCTGCTACAAAAATAAATGTTGCTTTGGATAAAAGCTTCTTCTAAATAAAACAGAATATTAATGTTTTTCCCCCAGATTGCCCTGTGGACCTTTATTTTGTCCTGGATACATCTGAAAGCATTGCACTGAGGGCTTCTCACCCAGACTACTACATCAGCCAGATCAAAGACTTCACTGTACACTTCATCAATGGGCTGAAAAGCATGTGTGTATACTTTCACTTCTCCAAGCAGGAATTAATGAGAAACCTTGTTTTGCAGGCAAAGTCTGAGCTGAGGCATACATATTTACATACATAAGTACATACATGCCTACAGTACAAACATACAGTATGTACATACTTCAATATACAGACGTTCAGCGGTTTATGATGATCCGTGTTACGATATTTCGATGGTGTAAATGTTTTTCACTTTCATTATTCAACAAATTGCATGAGATATTCAACACTTTTATTATAAAATAGGCTTTGTGTTCATGAATTTGCCCAACTGTAGGCTAATGTAAATGTTCTAAACATATTTAAGGTAGGCTAGGCTAGGCTATGATGTTTGTTAAGTGTACTGTATTAAAATGCATTTTCGCCTTATGATATTTTCAACTTATGGTAGGTTTATTGGAACGTAACCCCA